CCAGCGCTACACCACCTAGCGCTCCAGCAGCGTGACGCCCAACTCGCACACTGAAGAATGAGGCGGAGCTCTTGCCTCCGCCTCTAGATATAGCGACCTGCTTGCCTCTTGGGTGGTGACTTCCAGGCCGCTCGGCCTCCCAAGCAACCGGTACCTTCTTCGTTTCGGAGGGAAACATCATTGCAGACTCTGATATTGCCCGTACAGGCTCTAGACTCAGACTGGTTGGACTGGTACCGGCCTAGACCTACCCTACCGCTACTGGACTCTAAAAATGCCAACTTTGTCTTTTTCTGCTCGGCCTCCAGTACCCCTCACGCCAACTGCAGTGGGGTGCAGTATCGGCCTACCGGCCCTCTTGAGTGTTTTTCCGCTACCCCAAGGGCCTCAGGGCCGTTAGCTTCGCCACTTGAGTGTTTTTCCCTGCTACAACCCTCAATGCCACGGCCACAGGTAAGAACCGGCCCTACGGGCCTACCAAACAAGCAAGTACCCTTGCGGGTCCCACACACACTCACACCAACAAGCACTCAGACAGGCATGCAGGTCACAAGCACGCACACACAGACAGACTTAGAAAACAGAGCAGAATGCGGGAATCTCAGCAAGGCATCCCTTCCATCGGCAGAACTTCAGAAATCAGCATTGTTCTCAGTCTGTGTTTTGACGGGTCATTACAAATTATTCTTTTCTGAAAATCGAATTTCCATTCTATTTCGCAAGTTTTTTTTGGAAACCGAAATCTTGCGAAGCCTACCAACATTTCGTTAGGCATATTCGGAGGTTGCCATATTCTCAGAAACTGGATTTCGTTCTTTTCTGAAAAATCGCATCTTTACTCTATTTCGCAATATTTTATTTATTTATTTATTTATTTTTTCAATAACGCATTTTGTGAAAGCTGAAACTTTGTGGAACCTACAGTGTAGCCTAGATCTCGCTCATAGTACTTTTCTGACATGTCTCACTCATATTAGATCGACAGATATACAAAAAAAAAAAAAAAAAAAAAAAAAAAAA